GGAACTCCTCTTCACACCCTGCCATGATCACTTTCAGCTATAGCCCCGGTTCACCTACTTTCTTTTTCTCTAATCCCCCTCTCCCTGTCTAGAATTAGCTGCCTCCTCTTTTTCCCATACAATAAATGTTCAGCTCTTCATCTGCCTCTTCTCCCAGTGCAGTAAGATCAGCTACTGCTGCCTCTTACAACCTACATAGTTGCAATTAGCTTACACTCTGTATTCCCACTTAATTAGTTCAAGTGATACGGTTTCTAATTTCTGCAGCTTTGTTGATCTTACAGACAAGACATTGTTGACAAATGTCAGACACTATTACGATGAGGTTAACACTGGAAATTTTTATTTGAACCCAGTCCAAAATTTTCTCTGGCTTATTTTTAGGGTTTTGTCATGATCTTGTTTATTGAAAGGGTCAGTCAATTGTCTTTACAAGACCATTTTGCAAGTGTGATCTAAATGGTGTCTTAACTTCACCTTCCGACACAGGATACTTTTGGGGATCTGAAACCTTGGCCAATATCAAAGCAATTTCTTTGTCCCATTATTGCCTCGCTATATTAGAGTCCTTCACCTGTAGTTCTGCCCAATTTCTCCCTAAATCTTGTAGGACAATACTGCTTGCCTGCTAAGGACCTAGGCTTGTTTTCTGAGTTGGTGAAGTCATAATTAAATCTGGTATCTCAATTTTCTCTAGCTTTTCATCTATTTCTGGTGGTACAGTTTCTTGAGGATATCATGATAGGGTGCCAGCATTGGAATTGTCTGGTCTAAATTTTATGGTAAATTGAAACTCTGCTAGGCGGGCCACCCATGTTTGCTCCAATGCTCCCAACTTTGCAATTTGCAGATAAGCCAGATGGCTGTGGTCAGTGATTACTTCAAAAGGGCCCATACTGGTGCCAAAAGTTCCAATTGGAAAGTGCTGTAATTTATTGGGTTTCTCTTGGTTTTCTTAAAAGTGTTACCCCAAAATGAAAATTTTCATGTACGTTATCTATTTTTTATGCAAACATGTTTGTAAATGTATCATATTCTGTTTTCATTTCACTTTTTCTGTCAAACACATGATGATCCTGCCAGTCCCCTTTTTGTCCCTTTGCAATCTGACCATGCCAACGAAAGCAGATCCTTGCTGGCATGGTCAGTTTGTATATCTGGGCTTCTATCTTGTAGATACAGGATGTCGCACTGATGCACAGTGTGCCTGTATCTCTGGTAGCCAAGATAGCTAGATAGCTAGCCACTTCCCCCTTTTCCCCCTTATCAGTCTTGTTGGGTTTAATTACAACAGTAGCAGAGTTGGATGAGTGTGACATAACACTTGACCTAAAAATACAAAAAAGGTCACAAGCACTCCAGCATGTAGACAAGTCAATTGTTATTGACTTCAAAAGGTGTCACATCATCAAAGCGACGTTTCGGAACAGTAAAGTCCCTTCCGCAGGCAAAACAGATAATGATGTGTATGTGGGTGTGTATGTTTTTTGAACTATAATACTTGACCTGTCTGCTACTGAGATCTGCCCCCTGTCTTGAGAAAGAAGAACCCAAAATGATGATGTGGTCATGTGACAACAAAATAAAACCTAAAGAAAGTACATGATTATATGCAAAAGTAAATTTGATTAGTGTGAGAGTGTTAGATCAGCAGCGGGTGTGTGTGACCCCCTGGATGGGTTCACACCACAGAAATTAGGCACCGCAAACAAGGATTGCTTCGGGTTAAACACACGTGCAGTTTATTCATAACTAGCTACAAGAAAAGTTGAGCAGAACAAACAAAACATGAAAATGAAGCCTGGCCTGTTGGCCACTTACTATACACACACGGTATCCTGCACTACCCACTAGGTGCAACCTTGTGCTGCCCCCTAGCACCTATCTCCCTATTCCATCAACTGCCACACAGGCTGTGTCTCACCACACGAGATTTGTTTTCCCCTTTTCACCACACAGGTCAGCAGGAAGCTCCCCAGTCTCTTCAGGCATGAAACTGGTTCCAGGGTGGAGCCATTCTCTAAGCAGTCTGGGAGTTCTTATAGAGGCCCTAATGAGCCAGCTTCCTTCAGCTGGGCTCATTACCTCTACCATTCCAGCCTCCCAGTACTCCCTCTTAAGGCCGGACTGGCCATAGGGTAAACCGGGCACTTGCCCGGTGGGCCGGGCCAAACACAATCAACCTGATTGTGTTCGGGCCGGTCCGCTATGCCCGATGGCCGGCTCTGTGCAGAGCAGTGTCTACTGTGTGGTAGCGAGCAGAGCCGGCACTACCACACAGTAGACACTAGAGGGCGCTGGTGTGGGAGGCCAGAAAAACACCTCCTCCCCCAGCTCTCTCTACTCTTTGCTCTTTCCGGAGCTTGCTGGTGCTGTTCCTGCAGCCTGCACTGTCCCGGTATAGGCCGAGATATTAACATATGAATGGGCCGCGGTAATTTGCATATCAATAAGCCGCGACGCATTCATATGTAAATATCGCGGCTCATTCATATGCAAATCGCAACCCCTCCCCCCCTGCTAAGGAAGAGAAGACTGCAAGAACAAGTGTATGTGTATGGTCAGGGGTTTACTCTAAATCATCAACCGGGTCCCAGGGGGGATTTGCAGGATCTGTGTCAGGGTCTATTGTGAGCTCTGCAGGGTCTCAGGTGGGCTTAGCAGCCTGAGACCCCGCAGAGCCCACCACAGACCTTGCAGAGCCCACAGCCGAGTAGGGTAAATTTAGTGTGTGTTGTGAGGGGTGGAGCCTGTTGGTGGTCACGTGATTGGGCTGCTCAGTCTAAAATGCCCGGGCCTATTTTTAGTCCCAGTCTGGCTCTGCTCCCTCCAGTGGAAAGAAATCTGCATACATCCTGAACCTGGGACACACATATATATGCCATTCTGGATACACCCAGGTGATTTCACCTGCCTGCTGTCACAATAGTTACCAAATATTATTTGCTGTCTTCCTATGACTTATTTTTTGAACCCTGTGTTTACAAATACTTTAACCTTTTCTGCCATGAGCAGTAACTCAGTCATCAAATACTTCTCTCTGTTTTCCCCCTCAACTTATATTCTTTTGTTCATTATGCAAAAGTTATTGATTACAACTGCTTCTATTTTTTTTTTTTAGTTTGGCTTCATCCCTTCTTGCCAGATCTCATGTCCCAATACCCAAAATAAGTTTTCAACAGATTACATTTTTGTGGCTTCAGCTTTAATCTATGGTTTGATAAGCCTGTCTCTAAATGCTGAAGGTGTTTTTGACATCAAGAAGTAAATGTTCAAAATATAAATCACACAGACAATATTCCATAGCATTTTAAAAGGTGATGGGGTGTGTTCATAGGTCTGAATGGTATTTGTTTGAATTGAAACAATCCCATCTGCAATTTTGAATTTGCTAATTTTTCCTGGTTGGTTTAAAGTGATTCTTTGGGGGTGATTTACTAACCTTAAACACACGCACGCACTAGGTGCGTGTGATTTTTACACAGCAAAACTTATTTATCAACCAAAAAGTCTCTAAAAGCATATTTCCACTAATGCCATATATGGAAAAATCATGCACATGATGCATATATAATGCTGCTTCACAGTTTAGACAAAAATGGTTAGCTCATGCATTTACATTCCTGCATTCATCAATGCAACCAACACAATGTAGAGCTAATTTACACAACATCACCTTGCAATTCATGCAGGGCTTTGCACAACACACCTGCTGGGTGTGTACACACTACAAAAGGTGTCTAGATTCCCCCAATAGATCATGCTGGGAGGGAACACACTACAGAGGTGCATACTTGTTTGTGGCGTGTTTATAAGGTTAGTAAATCAACCCCTTTGAGTTCTTGTATTTCACCTTTAATGAACATGATGGGAGGCTGTTGAGCATTTTCCTTGGTTAGGAAATAGGCAGCCCCTATAGACTGCTGTATAAACACTAGTTCTAAAATGTTCTGTTCATGACTTTCATTCACAGCGGATGGCTGAAATTGTAAAAATTATATTTCTGGGACTTGTCTTAATCTTTCTTTTAAAGCCTCCTGGATGAAATGATTGTGTAAGCCCGCGGTGAACTGATCTATCAGCCATGATTATGGGACCAGAAAATAAGTTCTTCCAGGCAATTCTCGTTTCTTTATTATTTGTAGCAACTCTTGTATAGCTTTAGCTTACTTTGCAATGCTTTTAAAGTCAGTACACACTGACTTTAATATTGCATCAGCTGTTTCCTTTACAGGTAGAAATATACAAATTATATATTTCACTGAATAATATCGCAGATTGAAACTTTCTTTTTAATTTAAAAGAAAACTTTAAAGAGTAATCTGGTAATTAAGTTATCCACTTTTTACAGAAAGAATATAAATACTCTAAAGATGTATTAAAAGTCCCAAAAGTCTCAAAATGCATTAGATTAAAGCCAAACCGCCAGAAGATAGTTGAAGATCCTCACTTCTGCTTATCCAAACAATGTATTTAAATTGTGTTACTTAAACAGAGCTGTCAGGGCCTGTTGACATCTTTTAGGAATTTAGGTTAGACAATAGAAGTCCATGGATAGCTGCATTGTGTGAATCACAAGGCTTAATGACCAAAATCACAAATCCTTTGGCGTCTAAAACAATTCATACATATGTGTTCCAGCTGTGTTTAGCTGTTTATGTGAGAAATGAAGTAACATTAATTTTAACAAAGTACAGTATGTATTTGATAGTCTTTATTAACTTAAAAAGCAAAATATAATATTAACACAATAATAATATATATACAACTAGCAGTGACATCCTATTAAAATGCAAGGGATATTTAGCCATGGGGCAGAAGGGGATCAACTGTGGCTTTATGTCATGCAATCAAAGGGGTATGCGCTGGAAATGTCTATTTAAAAAAGAATCAAAATTGTAAGTGGGCACATCCCTACTGCACTCCAATTCATATATCACTTTATTTGCCGGTCTGGTTTCATTCATTTAATATGTTCATCCAGATGGTGGTTGCTGTGTTCATAACAGCTTGCTGGTGATCACAAGTAGGCTTGTTAAGAACACTGAAAGTGGATGAATTGGAAAAATTGCATTTGCTGAACCTGAAATATAAAAGTATGCATTTATTATGTTTTATACATTGATCCCATTGACAATTAAAAGAATTACATGAACAGCATTTAGATACGTTATTTGGAAGATATTAGATTAGCTCTGAGTAAAGCCAAACCAGTTACCTAATGGTTTTTGCACTCACAAAGATTCTTAAAACCGTATAAATAAGTAGTACAAAGCTATTCCTAAAATAATTCAAAATAAATATCAGGATGAAGCAAATCAAATCCATACTTTGAAAATTGTGTAGACAACCCAGTTCCATAATTTTGTGTGATTTATTTTCTCTGGATGTCTAAAATTGTCCCAGACTAAACATAGTAAGAAAGATTTACTCAATTTGTATATGCAGATCAGATAGTGTGTTTGGTTCAATATTTATAGTACAAGATTTGTTAAGCGCAGAATATTTGAGTTGATGGAACCAATTATGTTTAAAATTAGTTGTTGTCAACATTTTATGCAGTACTTTTAAAGATGTTTATTACATCATTTCACTTCACTACAGCTGGCATTACTAAACTTGCCTAAAGGCTTCTGGATGCTCAGTGGAATTGGAGCATTTTTTTCAAAGTGATGCAGCAAAAGAGTGGCACTGCTTCATGCTGAATTGAAAAGCTAAGCAGATCTAAGCCATTGCAATGGCTCAGATTTACTCTTATGCACCCCTAAATAAACTCATCTGTGAAGGTCTCAAAGTTGGTCCCCAGATTACATCACTAAATGAAAGGTTTCAAATGTTTCTTGCTTATTTAATTTCAGGTCAACAGGACAGGTCTGTATTTAACTTAATACAGGTTTTCTTTAAAACACTAATACTACAGAAAAACTAAATTAAAAGGTTACACCCATTCAGCTTGGCATGACACATCATGCTATGTTTGAACATGAAAGCCCTAGAGGCCATTTTAGTAGCAGTCTGGTAACTCAGAGCTTTCCACAAATGTTTGCTTGTTGAAAGCTCTGTTAGGAACTGGAAGTTTTAAAGCCAGGAACCTGAAACTCAATAACCTAAAGAACAATATCTTGCTACACCTGATTGCGTACTATATATAGAACAAGCCAGTGCTAGGCAGAGTTTCTATTGATGCAATTGCTGCAAGTGTTTATTATTTATATATTATGTATTTTAATATGTATTTTAATAATTAAACCCTCAAATAAGTTGTTATGTATATCGGATTGGGGTTCTTTGAAAATTCTCTGAAAGGGTATTTGGTTTCTATCAGCCCCATATAATTTCAGCAGAATCTAATAGAGATTCATACTAATAGTTAGTAGACCTTGGGAATTTTAGAAATTTCCTTGGTTCAGTTTTCATGTTGTTAATTAGCTCAAACGTTTAATAGAAAGCTTTGTGGTAACAAAGTATTCTTTACATTATTAACTCACCAAAAAAGTGGGAAGCATTGGTACCATTGGAGCAGGTAGGTTAGGCTGAATTCACACTTGTATATGGGGAAGATTGTATGAGTCTGAGAAATTCCTCTTTGAGGACCATGCAATGTATCTATCTATCTATCCATCCATCCATCCATCCATCCATCTATCTATCTATCTATGATCTAATTACACTTACTGGAATGCAGCTTTTCTGAGAGTGTGTAAGTCACATTTTCTTTTGTGATGAAGACACTAGAAGGGACAAAAAAACACATATGAGAAAAATCCTGATAATATTTTGGAATGCATGCATAATATACATAATATAGATGTATTTCAGCTTAAAGCAGAACTTTTTTTAATACAAACACTCTGAAATTGCAAAAGCATATGGCTTTTCCAGAAGGTCTCTCAGCTGTGGTGTAGGCACAGTGTGTAGGCACCTGGAATTTGCCATGGCCACTTGGTTTCAGCTTTGCAGGCTGTAGTGTTCAGAGTTTATATGCTTTCCACACATCCCTTTCAGTACGTGTTGATGCTCCTGTATTTGTATATGGGGCAGAGACCATCACTGCACATGCTTCTACCCTGTGTTCTGTCTTCTCAATAATTGGAAGCAGCTTTTAAAATAAGTAACAAAAGCCTAATAAAAATACAGGAGACAGGAAGGTTTAGGCTGAGGATAAAGCTACCCTATTACATGCCTGGTTCCTGGCAGGTAAACTGCCATAGGAATGGAACCCTCCGAAATATAAGACATCATAGTATACTTCATCATGTAACATTTATGCAAATGTGAAGTATTCGCATGGACTAAGCAGATAGATTTCATAGTGCAGTCTAAAGCCTTTCTTGTGCATAGTTATTTTGTATGCTGTGATCATGCTTGTAATACTTACTTTATATCAACAGAATCAGGAATTGAGGATGATGGCGAGGTCCAGTTAGTAAAGAGTGAATTATTTGCATTAAAGGTGAAATTCAGCAGTGGTTTTCCAGAACAATCAACACTTTGAGTCGGTATTGACCAATTTCCAACAACTGTGTTGTTTGATAGAGCCTGGAGGAGGACTTTGACACTCTCATTGCCATTGCCAGTGACATTAACTGCAATTCAGATATAAATTGTTATTAGAAACTTGTCAGTGGAGGTAAAACGTTATACACAGAATTTAACATGAATATACTTTTATATCAAAACAATAGTTTAGTGACCTGAGTCAGTAGAAAATACAGTTTCTCTTCTGAGGGCAGTGTCTACTTCCAAATACTTTCAAATGGGAAAGATGGAGAACTTTTAGCACCCTGGTTTCACCCCCAATCACACAGACCAATCAGAAGGAAAGCATCAATATTTATAAGTTAACTGTGCTGTTTTTTACCACTCATTTTCCTTCATGCTAGTGTTTGGAAATAACCAATGCAATAATAGGGAATTTGGATTAATGGGTTAGTGCAATATAACTCTTCTGGCTGTTAAATAGCAGATTTATCTATATAGCACACTATATTAAACCAAAAAGTGGGATAGAAGTATTTGGTTACGAAACACCTCCAAAATAAGGATGGCAGTGAGCAGTCAGTGATGTCGGATTTGTCTGCCAGTGAATATTCACTGAATGTGCAGTGATTTTTTCTAAACTGTCCGGGATGGAGAAAGTTCTAATTTAGTGCATTGTCTGACAGAGTATTTGTCCCTGGAAGTGATGGAAATTAGCTTGTTAACAATTCTTTGGCTTTCAAAAATATAAAATCACTTATTTATTTATACCTTGTATCAAAATTATTTTAGCTTAGTTTGTTTTTGTGATCCATTCTTTTTTATGTGATGAATTTTATACAGTGTGTGTGCTCAGAAGTGTTTTTGAGCGAATGTGTGGCAAATGTCACATTTGTTTTTTTACAAATAGTGTGAATAGTCCAGTAAGCACCACTAAAAAAGTGGATGGTGTACATCAATGAATATTGCTTGATCAGGTCAATGAGTGTTTTGTAAAAGCTGTAAATGATTAACTAATAATTGTTCAGTGAAAAGTTGGTTACTATAGGGTGCGTGTCACATTGCCCATTTATAATTATGCCCCTATGCTGCCCTATGACTTTAAATTCTAAACACCCCTATTGTGTTGGTAAGAGTACTGTTTGCTCCTGTTATCTAGAAGATAACCAGTCTGGACTGAACATGGAAACTGCCATTGCTAACTTGCTTTTAACAAGTTCAGGCTCTGGGTCTCTCAGCCATACCTTCACTTTACTACTAACAGAGTTATTGACCTGAAACCAGCAAACAGCCAGCAAAGTCAGGACTCATTCCTTGCGTATGTTTTATATAATGAATAATTAAGCAGTGCAGCAAGGTTAGTATCAGCAGTGATAGTTCCTATATTTCCCCTTTAATATGACTGGTGAAGGGAGACTACTAAAAATGTTTGAACAATACCAAAACTAGAGAAAATTTTAAGACAACACAAACATTCGGCAATCATTAAAATGAAACTGTGCCAGCTAAGGTAGTCATTGTATACATAACCAAAACTTGTTTTCTTATTTTGGAATAGAGTAGAGAATGAGTAAAACCTTGGTCAGTTTATTTTTCACATTCTGTATTCTGTTGGGAATGTTTCCTTTTCTTGCTGCCTTGGAATGCAAGAGGAAGTTAGATAAAATCTCTACAAAGTAGACTGCTGACACGAGAACAGATGCCACTGGAAGATGAACCCTCACCCTCTGGCGACAAATCCAAAAGGTTGGATTTCCCTTCGCTTTCTGTGTTGGGGACAATGGTCACCAGAACAAATAGAGGGGGTGAATCTCTGCAGTGAGGACACAAAACAGCAATAAAAAATTGACAGGGATTTTAATAGTTCCTGACTCTAGCCAAAACGTTAAAGTTTTGCCTATGCATATACTTCAAATTGTTTTGCAAGAATAAGTATATATATATAAATAAACAACATAAGCAAACAGAATGGCATTGTGACTATGGCATTAGTAGACTTAGTACGTTTGAAAAGTCTTACCTGTATACACAGTATTATTGTAGAGGGTCTTGGGAGAGACTGTAAGTTTATAGTCTTTGTTTTCTGCTGTCTTTTTTGTAAAGTTGCACTCCTCTGGATCAGTTGTGTATCCTGGAGTGATGACTCCAAGGAGTAGGAGAAGAGCTGTGTATCCTGTAAACGACATTGTGGTAGTTTCCTCTTTTCTTTGTAGTTCACTTGTGCTTCTTCGTTTTCGCACACACTTTATATACTGCAAAAATTAAATGATGTACATTCCCACTTCCTTCTATTTGATTACACAAGCAAAAGTTCTTGACAAGTGACACAATGAAACTCTCCCTGTTTTTATGAAACTAATTTGGCAGCCATATTTACAACCTACGTATAACCTGTGACTCACCCATTAGAGAAACATTGGTTACTCATGTTTAAATCTGCTATACATTTATTAATACATTAGTGACTTATAATATATTCCACTTGCAGCATGAGTGATCATTGCAGTAGATGGTACACCAGTTTGACTGGTTTCACTTTACCCTAAATTCTATATTGCTGTGTGATGTTTTTCTAAAACTAAGGAATTGTGAAATAGTTCAAAGTAAATTCTGTAAACTCATCAATGGCTCATCCGTACAAATGCTAAAGAAAACCTCCTTGATGGGAGCCATAGCACCTGTTTCAGATCCACTTACATTTATGACAGATCCAGATTAGAGATGGGCTGCCAGTTTGAGTAGAATGTAAGTTCAACTTGAACTTTGTCTGTTCGAGCATTTGCCCAACGCCGAACATTGTGGGACGTTTACGGTCTGTTCAACCGCACAACTGTGTATGTAAACTGTTAGAGGGAATTATCAAGGACTACTTAGTGGAATTCGTCCGGGATCATAGTATAATAAGTGATGTGCAGCATGGATTTAGGAAGGATCGTTCTTGCCAGACCAACCTGCTCACCTTTTACGAAGAGGTAAGTAGAGATCTGGATGGTGGGAGGACAATGGACGTAGTGTACCTGGACTTTGCCAAAGCATTTGATACTGTGCCACATAAACACTTGTTATACAAGCTAAGGGGTATGGGCATAGATGAATTATTGTGCACGTGGATAGAAAACTGGCTGAAAGAATGTGTACAAAGAGTATCAGTTAATGGCACCTTCTCAGACTGGGCGGAGGTCGCAAGTGGCATACCCCAGGGTTCGGTGCTGGGTCCCATGCTTTTTAACCTATTCATTAATGATATAGGGGAGGGAGTGAGAAGTCATATCTCAGTGTTTGCTGATGATATGAAAATTGGGAGTGTAGTAGACACAGATTTAGACATTACAACATTACAGGAGGACCTGGAGAAAATCGGGGAGTGGGCAACTGTATCGCAGATGAAGTTCAATGTCGATAAATGTAAGGTAATGCACCTCGGAGCTAAATAGACTCCTGGACGAGTTCCTGGGAGACCAGAACATTCAGGGGTACAGGTATAGCTAAGAGAAAAATCACACATGGACTCATATACACGCACACATCAGCTCATAAATGCATACACACAATAGGTTTCACTTGATGGACTTATGTCTTTATTCAACCTCAAATACTATGTAACTATGTAACAACGTCCCACAAGGCAAAGTGCCCTCTGAAGCTCTAATTGGTTAAATGCTTGCACCTGACCACAGGTCAGGTGCAGGACTTTGCCCAAGCAGGGCTCAGTATTAAGTTAGAGCCATGATTGGGCAAAGCCGTGATGACTTTGCCCAATCATGTCTCGCCTGTCAGATGACGGCAAACTACACAATTTGCTGTCACCACTAGCTCCAATTGTTTATGTTTTGCCGGCATCTGTCAAAATGCCATTATGCAGCGGGAGTCGGCGGGGAGAGGACGGGATGGCGGTCGTCGTTTTTAATTTTTTAAAATTATTTTTATTTATTTTTTATTGTTTTATTTTTTATTTCGCCGTCGTCGTGGACAACATGGATTGACCATGGATTACGTCGGTGGATCAATTTTTTGTTTTTTTTAAATATAAAGGACTTGTCAAAAATCCTTTGTTGTGTTTATTTTTGATGGTGTCTGGTGTTTTTATTTAATCTATTTTTGAACACTTTAGTTCACTTCTCATTCACAAGGGAGGGGGGCGGCATCTGGGTCACCCTTGTCCCCATCGGTACGGTCTCGCTCATCCCACCCCTTCCGGCCATTACAGGCCTATGCTCGGATCAAGGGTCTGATATGGAATTTTTGGGGGTGGGGTTCCTCCCTAAAACTCCTAGGGTGGTATGACTTTTAGGGGGAACCCTACACCTTTTTTTAAATAAATGGTCACTCCTAACATTCCTACCAGACCTAAAGGGTCTGGTATTGTTTGGGAGGGGGAACTGCACACTTTAAGAGAAATTTTTTTTTTTCTTTAGAAATGTCATACGTAAAAAACAATGCAAGAAAAGCTATATCTGGCACAATGGGAAGAAGAACACATTTTTAGCTAACCACTAAAAAACTTAGGAAATGCTACATTGACGATATTTTCATTATTTAGGAAGGGACATTGCCCTCCCTAGAAAATTTCATAAATACTTTAAATTATAATGATTATAATCTACAGTTCACATCGCCATCAATACATCCACAGTACATTTCTTAGATTTGGAGATTACAAAGGATCTAAATAGATGGAAGACAAAAACCTACTTCAAGCCTACAGACAAGAATGGATACATACCAATCCAAAGTTGTCACCACTCACAATAGCTAAGGGCTATCCCTGAAGGACAAACTTATGCGTATTAGGAGAAACTGTAACAACCTGGAGGACTTCTATTCACAATCTCAGGTCCTCATCAATAGATTTGTGGAGAAGGGCTACAAGAAGGATGAACTATATGGGATAAGAGACAAGGTTGTGGACCTTGACAGGAAGAACTTATTACAACAGGGTCCAAAAAAGAAAACTGATTCTTTTCCCATATCGTTCATCACCGACTACTCAGCCCAACATCAAGCTTTAGAGCACTTCATTAGGAAGCATTGGGCCATTCTAAAAAGGGACAAAACACTCGGCTCTTTGCTCCCATCTAAACCTAAAATTATCTATAGGAAGGCACCTACCTTGAGGGACAGATTATCCAAAAACGTTATTGAACCACCGAAACAAATTACCTCTTTCTTTGAAGGAGTTGGATTCTATCCCTGCAAAAGATGCTTGGGTTGTAGAACCACAGGACTGAGAACTAAAATTAACTCCTTCAAATCCCAAACAAACGGCAAAGAATACAAAATTAAAAATGTCATCTCCTGTAGCAGCCGCCATGTGACCTACCTTTTAGAATGTCCATGTGGACTTCAATATGTCGGCAGAACTACGAGGGAACTGAGGAAGAGGATAGAGGAACATATTACTACCGGTAATATTAAAAAAAACGGTTCACAAAACATAGCCTGTCTAGGCACTTTAAATTGGTTCATAACCAGGACCCAAAAGCCCAAAAAATATGTGGCATTGATAAAGTTAAAAACCAGAGGAGAGGCTCTAATCTTACCAGAGAAATTTCTAAAAACGAATCCAAGTGGATCTTCCTTCTAGACTCTATGACCCCCAGGGGACTAAACATAGAATTTGACTTAAATTGTTTCCTAAATAACTACTAAATGTTGCAGGTCCCCACAGCCCCCAACCATCTGCTTTAATCTCTCTCTCCCCCTAGTACTCTATGCGCGTTTGTCGCGCGGTTCGGGTCGCACGTTTTTACCGAAACGTTCAGGTGTGAACCAGGCCTAAGGCCTATTCATATTCACAGCTCGATACCCCATACACATAATTCATTATGTATATGACTTTTGTCCTTTTACTCCCTCACAATTTTGCATGCTGATTACACCGATTAATGTTTTTGGAGGCGACATGCGATTGGTGTTGTGTTTACTAAATATCTTCACATATGGATTGCGTCGACTGAAGCGACATGCAATTAATGTTGTCTCTACTATACTAATATCGATGCCTCACTTTTTACACTTAATTTTATTTAACTTAGTTCATATAAAAATTCTATTATTTCCTTTTTTATATTCTCTAATGTATATGTATATTCAAATCATCCCTATATTATCATTGTAATTATATCTTATACACATAGCTCTATTGATTCACACAATTCTAATGTAATTATATTTGCTATATCCAATATAACTTTAGTTATTTGACTAACAATGAAAATCCTACACATGTCAACTGTTTAGGTTTGACTTGATTTAGTAACCAATTATATGAAGTATTATGGATTGTCTAGCTAATCATTTTTATCTATGGAATGTCCTATATATGTCCATTTTATAGCCTTATTCCGTTCTAGTACCAAACTTCACATATCTCTTTCATGGATGTTGAGTGTTTGACCTACTTGCTGATTGGTTGTCCAATCAAAACCAATTAGCAGAGTTTTTATAAACCTATATCCACCTTGTCACTTGATATCTGCCTTTTTTTGAAAAAGTCACATGACGAAACGCGTCAAAAAGGTGGATTCATTTGCACACGAGGAGTCTTCTAAGTTGCTCCAGAGCTTCTTTGTCAGCCGGATTTTATACATTTTACATGTAAGTTGCTACTTTTAATAAATTATAAATGCTTTTACGTACTGCACCATGAGGGCTCTTTTTTCTTAAACCCTGAAAACCCTGTGGATCTCTGAGAGAAGGTCAGTTGAGACTATGCTCAGGAGAAATTACCTCTGGGTCTGAAAGACAGCTCCAGCACTGCAGTGAACAAGCTCCCTGATTTGCATGGTTCCAACGCGGGAAGAACCCAGTTTAAAATGGGACAGGACCGTGGACCAAACCGTCACGAAATTGAGAAGTGTGTTCACTCACTACATTCTGGTGAGTATCCATTATCAGGGGGTCCGCTGGACCAAAGAGAAAGGGATCAACAAATATCTGCCTTTTGTCTTCCTCTCCCGGCTTCTAACACCACTCACTGAACACTGCTTTCTTTTTATTTGACAATCTCACCCCAAGATTGCCACTTAAAGATCAGCTTAAGATTGATACAGACTGCCGATTGCCAATTCGTGACTCTTACGATCTCTGTTACATATTACCACTGATGATTTAATATTGCACTATACCAACTAATTTGACTTATATTTGTTCTCACTCAAGCTCGTCACGATTATCCACATATGTTTTAACCTTTATGATTTCTGGT